CAAATCACACTTTCATGTGGCCCCATCCAACCGAAGTGCACTGCACAAAAGGCTACTGTGTTTTTTAAAAAATGTATAGAGCATTACTGTACAGTGCTTCACAAAACCCTGCCTCAGTGACTGCCACCTCTACCCACCCAGTCATCCTACCAGATCATGAGTCATCCCAGACTCCTCCTCACCTTTTATGTGCCCCCTCATTACCTCTAGCTAGCCCCATGTTGTCAGTCTTAAAATCAAAGATCACACTAATCCAGCAGGTGGGTTGAACAAAGCAGGTCTGCGTGAAACGTGCACTGGTAGGGAAACAGCAAGTAGAAAGCAAACAGCCATGCTAAAGAGGTCAAGCACTATCCAGCTTCAGCTGATAGAGAAAGAGGAAATTCAGGGTTGGTGTTATCTAATATTCTGATTTTTCAAAAGCATCCAGCAATCTGCACTTTTAAGGGAAAGATACTAATTTTTGAAACAAAGTAAGGGCCAAATTAAACATAACCTGCGGGACAACATGTGACCTCTATCTTTAGAATCTCCATTCCATTCCATCCCAGCCACCTCCATTAGGGCCTTAACATTTCTTACACAGTTTAAAGCAGGGGCATCCTAAAGGTCTCCAGAGCAGAGCACTCTCACCTCCTTTACTATCTCCCCATCTACTGGCTGCCAGGATGAGCTTCCAAAATTCAAATCTGATCCTGTAAAAGCCCTATGGTGGCACACGCCTGTAGTCCCAGCACTCAGAAGGTTGAGGCAAGAGGAATGCTGTAAGTTTGAGGCCAGCATAGAATACATAGTGAGTTTAAGGTTAGCCTGAACTATATAGCAAGACCCTGTCTCAAAAAAAAAAAAAGCCTACAGTAGCCCCTAAAAAAACCTTTTGCACTACAAAGTACCATAAAACTACATGAGATATTTAACATGCAGGTAAGCGCAAGCAATTCAATATGAATCACCCAAAGAGAGCCTAGGACAGTGATGGCAAACCTTTTCCAGCTTTCAATGATAACAAACAGCCGGCTGCAGCACGCATGTCATACGTTTGGCATCAGTGACCTAGGAATTTACTAGCCAGTTTCCCCCAAGTGATTCTGAGACCAACAGTCCTTGAACCATAGAAACACTGTTGCACAGGGCAAAATCCAGGGCCTCTGCCAGGTGCCCACCTCCCTCTCTGGTTTCCTGCCTTGTTACTCCACAATTCCTCACCTAATTTCTTGTGGTTCCCAGGAAATATGCTCTCTGGCCTCCATCTCTTTGTACTCCATTGCATTTCTGTGATGCCTTTTCTCCCTCTTCACCTGTTAAAGCCCAGCCTTCATCTTTCCACACCGAGCTCTACCTTCACCACCATTGCCTATGAAGCCTTTCTCAGCTCTCACCTCTCCTCCAATCTGAACTCCCTGGAAGCTGCCTCCACTCTCCACAACATCCAGCACTTACTAATTGCACTTACTATTTATAACTGTTTATTTACATGTCCATATGCCACCAAACTGGGTTCTTTGAAGTCAGGAATTTTAGCCTCATTTAACTTTGCAGCACCGGCACTGTGTCTGACAGAAGTCCCTTCATAAATGCTTTTCTAATAAGCACAATCAAACTCTATGAAGCAGCCAGGTGAAAAGGCCAGATTGGACTCTGGCTCTTTAGCTCGCCCATCAAGATGCAAACAACCTCTCTTAACAACCTCTTATGGTAATACTAATAAATTCACAATTATCAAAACTCCTATAATCAGATTGTCACTGACAGTCATATTAACTATCAAAATAGCAGAAATAAAGTCATCCTGACATTACATTCTTTTTTCTTAGTTTAGTTTATTAGTTCATGAGTGTAGTACATAATGTTTACATTGCCTTGTGGGAAGTTGATACATGTGTATTAAAATGTAAGTTGATACATCTTAATTGGTTTTTTCATCCTTTATCCCTTCCTTTCCTCCTCCCTCCCTTTATCTCTTGACCCCTTCCCCTCTGAGAACAATCTACTTCCTATTACCTTTTATTTTATTCTTTATTCTTGAAACCAAGCCAACAACAGTATTTCACACAGCACTTCCTCTCTGAAGCAAAATGATACAATTTGAAACTGCTGCTACACTATCAGTTAAAACCAGGCCTTCCTTAGGCAGCCACCCACATGCTCTACCCTGGGAAAATTCCTCAACTACAAAGCCCATACAAAAGGACAGGTAGAGGGGAAGGACAGCAGTCCTCATAAAGATAGAATCCCTCAGCATGACTGTCTGAAGCTACACTGTTAAACAACAGAGAATACTTGCAGTAGTAATCAAAATCTTCCCATTCAACGTGCAAAAATATCCTCTCTGACATCCTTTAACCAAACTTCCAAAATGGCTTACGTTCTTTTCCATCTTCATTCCTTCAACATTTCTTGAGCACCTACTGTTCATGGTACTGTGCTAGATCTTGGTCATAATGAACAAGATGGCCAAGATGGCACTGCCTTACTAGAACTCATGTCCTAACAAAGACAGTAGCCAAAGCAGCCATTCAATAAATTATTAAAAGAACTGTTTAAAAGAACGGTGTTAGGTACCACAATGGAGAATACAAGTGTTAAGACAGTATGTAACACTGAATCTATCCCAAGCTTTCTTCTGTACTAAAAACCAAGGGTCTGCTGCTCCTTACTACAGAAACCTAATCACATCTCTATCTATGTGTGCTCCCCTTTCGGCAGCTCTTCTGTGAAGCTGCCAGGTTTCCAACTGTAACTCTCAGATGTACCTCTGGGGAACATAAAGAAATTAAACTGGTTCAAAAGTAATTTTTCCACCAGCTGCTTTTATAGTATCCATTTTTTTCTGTACTTCTTTGCTCTATTACAAAGGGTCACGTCAGGGAATAAAAATTTGAGTGTTTTGACTCTACCATTTATGAGAGGAAAAGGTTATCTTAATTCAATAAACTTATAAAACCCCTTACTGTCTCTGCAGATAGCACAATGGAAACACAACGACAGAAAGATCTCTGTGTGCTGGGCGTGGTGGTGCACGCCTGTAATCCCAGCACTCAGGAGGCTGAGGCAGGAGGATCGTTGTGAGTTCGAGACCACCCTGAGCTACTAAGTGAGCTCAAGTCCAGCCTATCTGTATAGCGAGACCCTGCCTCAAAAAGACCAAAAAAAAAAAAAAAAGTAAGTGAAAGATCTCTGTGTGCAAGTCACATTCCAGCAAAACTAACCACACAGATTTTTCCTATGAACACCCTTGGGTTCAATATTTTTAATATAAATGCAGTATTGAGTAAAGAACTCTCTATTATAAGAATGTTTAGGTTATAAATTTGTTCCTTTTTTTTTTCTGCCCCCAAAGAAAGTCTTACTGTAACTAAAAAATAGTATCAACTATATTTTAGTGAACGCTGGACACTTGCTAAATTGACCTTTGTTTTCTGGGATGACTGGAAATCTGTCAGAGATAGGAACTGAGTCAGATAAGAGAAGCAGGGAAGAGACAGGGACAGAAAAATCCATTGACATTTCTGGCATATCAGGACACCTATCCAGTTGAAAATATCAATCTAGAGAAGACTGCTTATAAGAAAATAGAGACCCTATTAGACGTTGTTACAAATAAACAACTATTCCGTTAGCACTCACTCTGAAAGCCAAATCCTAGTAAAAAAGAAAATATTTTACATGTCAATATTTACAGTGTTGAGCAGATAACAAAAAAGAGATAGAACTTGGGCAAAACAGGAGGTAACAGCGTTCTAAAATCAAAGTTGTAAAGTCCTGGCCTGAGTTCCCATGAAGGCTTTGGAACCTGATCAAAAGGGTATGGTACAACTTTGCTGAAAGTAGAGGAACTTCTAAGGCCCCTTACTACTTTTTCTACGCCAGTTAAACCAAACCCTTTATGATTCTTCCAGTTATCCATTCATCCCAACAAATGCTTATTGGATACCTAGTACTTATAGGAGCACAGTGCTCAAGTTATGATGGTCCATTAGGCAAGTCCGACTGCGTGGGCTTAAACGTTCAATGGAAGGACACACTAAAGGATAATTCTGTGAATGAACAGAACACTCTTAAGGAGAAAGGGGATACTGTACTTAAGGATGGCTTCTCTTGAGACGTTTAAGCCAAGATGTGAAGATCCACAGGGAACAAAGATGAAAGGCTGAAATCCCTAAATCAGGCCTGGGCGACTGGATGGCTACTGGGGTCACTTACGGGAACGAGAATGTGAAGGAAGCTTAACCACCAGCATTGCCTGGACGTGCATTATGTGCTAGGCGCTTCTCAAATTCTTAAAATCACTCTTCGTAGTAGAAACTCTTCTTCCCACTTTACCAGCATAAACGAGAGGCTGAGTGGGGTTTAAAAAAAAACTTGCCCAGGGCTAAATAAAGAAACGTGACTTCGGCATCACCTTTATATGTACTCGAAAGCCCACGCTCTTTCCATTACACAGTTCCTTCCCGTGCACATTTATTCCATTGCACAGCCCCAGCGCGAAGTGCTACCGCTGAGGAAGCCTCTTTTCTGGGAAAGAAGTGGAACGCAGCCCCAGTTAGGGCCTGGGTAAGTCACTCCCCTCCATAGCCTCCTCTGCCAGATGATCAGCCTCCCTCTGAAGTTGTACGCAAGAAAGGCAGGTAGAAAGTTCATTCAAAGGAAGACCATTAAAATATCACAGAACTGCATCCTTTTAGAGGGCTAAAAAGCAATCATAAATAACAGTAGGTAAAAAGAGAGAAGGGAATTCTCTCGCTCCACTATCCTCGAGAGCTCTCCCCAGGAAAGGGAAACCTCTAGGGAGCGTGCTGCCCCGGGGAGGCGGCCTAGGATGCTCTCACGCTCCCGGACCCCGAGTCCCTAGGATCCGCAGGAGCCCGCAGAAACGCCCGCCGGCGCGCACGGAGCCACGCGGCAGGCACAAGGTGACACGGTCCTCGCCGGCCCCTCTGCCGCCTGGGCGCGGCCGGGGCAAGGAGGGAGAGGGGCGTCCGCCGGCCTGCGTGCGCTACCTTGTACTTATCAAAGCCGGCCAGCTGCTCCGGGCTCACGTATTCGTAGCCAGCCATGACGACTCGAAAACCGAGCGCCCACTCGGTAGCGACTGTCCGCGACGAGGCGGTGAAACACGAGAAGCACACGGTGTGAGTAAGGTTGGGTAAGACTGGGCTGGCAGAGATGTGAGCCGAGCTCCACCCACCGCGCACGCGTAGCCCCAGCCACTTCCGCCGCCTCGGCGCGCAAGCGCAGCCCCGATTCTCCCCTCCCACCGGGGGCGGGGGCGCTACTCACGCGCTCCCCGCCCCCAGATGCCGTCGCAGTCCAATCGGCGTGGAATAGGCAACACTAAGTCCCGCCTCCCAGCTCACCTCATCACTTTATTTGCTGTCCTCAACATTGGTGAGCTGAGGTAAGGCAGGAGGGGAGATGAAAGGTCAGCTTCCCAGAAGGCTTTACTCGTATCCCAGGGTAAGGCGCGAGCTTCTGGGGTGTCTGTACCTGGGTGGAGATTTGGGTACCTTCTTAGTTCAACGAGTAGGGAAAATGCTTGCGGCCAGATCAGATAAGAGCGTAATTCCCTCGTCGCAGTGAAGCAAAAGAGCAAAGGAAGAACTGAGCTGCAGCCCTTTTGGGGCTCCTGATACGGTGCGCTGCATGAAGGAGGAGCTTAGGGAATGTGGCTTTATGCAGAGAAGTCTTAAGTGAGCTACGGCCTAGGCCTATGGAGGCTCAATGTGCGGTCCCTAAAGAGATTTGACAGGCGAATAAAGGGACATCGGAGACAAGCCCCTCAGGTCAGCGTTGCTTCTGAACCTTGGGCTGCCTGCTCACACTCCGTTCAATCAAACTCTTCCAAATTCAGATTGCTAATGTCTTCCTCCACCACATAAAAGCAGTAGACCCCATCACCCTGGATGGGTCCTTACATGCATATGCAAGTGTTTTTACATAACTGGAACCCGGTTAATTGTGGAAAGAAAGCCAGATCAATAGCAAGTATGTAGCTAATAATAGTAAAATTTAGTAATAGTTGCTACTTTTTATTGAGTGCCTCGTATGTGGAGAATTTCCTTACAGTAGCACCAACACCTTAACAACACTATAAAGTGGAAGGTATTTTACCCTCTTCCCAGAGTAGGGAATTAAAATTCAGATTACATGGGCTGGAGGTGTAGCTCCGTGGTCAAATGCTTGCATAACAGGATCTGGACCGTGGTTTGAATCCCCATTGGGAGGGGGGAATCAGGATTGCGTAATCTACCCAAAGTCACTTAGTTACACAGCTTGGAAAATGTCAGCCTAAATGAAACCTGATCTGTGTTAAGGCCACTGCATCAAGGGAGCTCTCAATCTCCCTAGGTCTCTGAGGGAAAAGGCAGCCATCATTTTGTCATCTCTTACATTCATTCATCCAACAGATACTCATTGGCAGAAGAGGATATGCCACGCACTTATCACTTGTTGGCCTGCATCTTATCACTCCTCCTAAAATATAAGATTATTATGAAGTAGGTAATAGATGTAAGGCGTCTGAATACATGGTAGATAATCTATAAACTTGAGTGTTCTTTACCATGCGTGAGTATTTGTATCTTACACATCTCAATCCTAATATTCCTCGTGCCCCAATAGTCCCATAGCTTGCAAATTATACATGCTCAGGCTATTCTATGGAATATGAATGAGCAAAGATCTCTGATATGCTACAAAGTACTGGTATGGAGACAGACATGAGAAATGAATGCTTTTAAGAAGGAAGTTGCACCTGGGTGTAGTGGAGCACACCTGTAATCCCAGCTCTCAGGAGGCTGAGGCAGGTAGATCACTACACATTGTCAACCTGGGCTACATAGTGAGTTCAAAGCCAACCTGAACTACATAATGAGACCCTGTCTGAAAAAAACAAAAAACAAAACAAAAAAAGGAAAATAAAATCTAAATATATTTCCTTTATGTAAAACTGTATATAAATCTGTGTTTTAATCTGCAAACTATTAAGAAGACAGAAATGATTTGCCTCTGTGCTAAATACAAAGCTTTGGACAATTTATTAATCATGCTGAGGCTTTTGTCCCAAGTAATGCTCTACTATTTATAATCAGATTTTCTCTGCTGTGCACCTCTTCTAATCAATGCAGAGATGATAAAGAGACGAGTACTCTATCAAGTAATTTAATACTAGCCTTGCACTTGCCCATCTGAAATAGAAAATTATAAAAAAAAATTTTTGGTTCATTATGGAAAGCCATCAAATGTAAAATGAGTACAAGCTATTTCATAAACTGCATTTGTTGCTCACATCAGATATAAGCAAACTAAAAATGACATTTTTTATTTTTAAACTTTTTTTTCCCCAGAGCAAGGCATTGTTTGCACACACATGTAATCCCAGCTATTTGGGAGGCTCAGGTGAGAGAACTACTTGAGCCCAGGAATTCAAGAGCAGCCTGAGCAACATAACAAGACCCTATTTCAAAGAAAGAAAGGGGAGAAGGGAAGGGAGGGAGAGAAGGAATTCCTACCTTCTTCTTTTTTTAAAGGAGCAACTTTTAATTTTGTGAGTGCATCTATAATTTTCTGCCTCTCTGCAGAAGGTTGTAATAACTTTGAATCAGTAATAAATCCATCTGAGAATTTCTTGCACTGAAACACAACATAGGTCCTTGTTTGTATTTTGGCATCTTTTATGTGATAGCTGCATGATCTCAGGCAACTTACTTCACATCGCCCCACTCTCATGGGTGTTTTGTTTTGTTTTGAGACAGAGTCTCACTTTGTAGTTCAGGCTGCCCTTCAACTTACTTTGTAGCCCAGGCTTGCCTTGAACTCCCAAAGATTCTCCTGCCTCAGCCTCCACAGCACTGGGATTACAGGTGTGTGCTACCACCCCTGGCCGCCAGTTCTCTTTTAAAAGGAGGGCATCAGGTTAAATCTATTCAACTCTGAATTCAGTGAAATTTTGTATTGTTTAACTTCTCTGAGATTAAATCAATCCATCTGTGAAAAGATAGTTGTTGTCCTACTATGGCAATTATAATACAGAGCATGGGAAATGCTAGTATTTCAGCCTTAACAAGTATAGGATACTATTTGCCTAGAATTCTATGAATTCTCACATAGAAAGAAGAAATTGTCAAACAAATTTGCTTTTAGAACTGAATCCCTTTTCTGTATGCTCTTCTCTGAGTTTGATTCAAGAGGCTTTCATACCTGAGGCAGCCCAGAGCTGCCAGCAGCTGCTTTCTATTGGCCTGGCTGTTTCCAGTTAGACCGGGTGCAGCCTCTTCGCAGTGTACCACAGGACAGGATATAATTCATTGTTGTTTTGCTTCCCTTATTTGCCTTCTCATCCACTGGTATTCCTTCTACATCTCAAACAATCAAGAACATGCATTTTCTTTAGAATGGTAATCATAAGCCAAGTGTGGTGGCACACACCTGTAATCTCAGCACTCAGGAGGTTGAGGCAGGAGGATCACCATGAGTTCGAGGCCAGCCTGGGCTACATAGTGAGTCCAAGGCTAACCTGAATTATGGAGTGAGACCTTGTCTCGAAAAACCAAAAACAAATCAAAATAAATAAATAAATATAGATTGAGCATTGCAGAACATTACACCTTTTTTTGTTTGTTTGGATTGATCATCATAGAAAATATAAAGTCATGCTAAAAATATTATCATCTTTGTAATGTAACTAGGAAACAAAACTTAATTCCTGGACTTCTTCAGTCTAAAGTAAGAATGTCAGATAAATGGAGTTACTGGGCAAATTGGAACTTAAAGGATTAATATAATATAGTTAAGTACTACAGTATCTTATTGAAGCCAAAAATAAGGTTTACCAAGGAAGTTTGCAAAAAAAAGGTATTGGTTTTGTTTTCATTTTAAAACTTAAAAAGGTAATGAGGCATCACTGAGTAGTAGACTACATATGCTTGACATATATGAGGCCCTGTACTTAATCCCCAGCACCAGAAAGTAATAACAATGAAATAGGAATAATGTTTTCTGAGTTCTATAGTTCTCAAAGCAATTTAACATCACTAGATCACCTGACAATCCTGAGCCATAGGCCAAATGATTGTTCCAACTGTACAAAATGGAACAATAAAAAAGTTATGTTTTGCCCAAATGTCACTCAACTTGTTCACATAAAATTTAAGCTTTTCATTGAATAGTTTTTATACTACACCATGCTTCTACAAGTTACCATGATAAGGTGGTTAAGAAAAAAATCACAAGCCTTGTTTTGTAGTGCTAGGAGTGAAACCCAGGACCTCACACATTAAGCAAGTCCTGTATTGCTGAGATTTGTCCCCAAACCCATAAGTCACTTTTTAATCAAGGACTGGGGGAGGAACAAGGGAAGAGCTGAAAACATTCATTAAGTTGCTGATCATTTCTTAAAAATAGAATTACCCAGCTATAGTAAATCTTCTCTAGTAGAGTTTTGGCTGCCTGGTTTTTGCTGTATTTTACATTTTTTTATAATAACCCTCTTGGGCAAGAATGTCTAAAAAACTTGGGTCATTAATCATATTCTTTATCACAGAAAAAGTCTGTGCAACATTCCAAAATTCACTTTAAACTAATACCTCCTTTTAGAAGCCACTTTGAAGATACCAAAGTATAGCACAACAACTCTTGATAATCTCCTACCTCTTTTGTCTCTAACTCACTATTATTTGTCTATTTGTTTTCCTGAGAAACTATTTTGTAGATAATAATATGTAAAACGATAACCATTGATAATTTCCTACCATTTTGTCTGTAATTTGCTAAGTCCGCCCTATTATTATGTTATCCTTCTTTTATTCTTTAAAATAAAAAAAAAACTTAAAAAAAAAAAACAAAAACTAATACCTCTTATTTTCCCTATCAGTGGAGGGGGAGAGAGTCTCTGCTATTCTGTGACGTGCATTAGGGCCTCTGAAAGGTATTACAGCCTTCCAGTCCTTATCCCTGTTCCTGGGGATTGAAGCCAGGGCTGCATCCTCCATCCTTTTTTTATTTTTATTTTTTGTGACAGTGTCTCTTTCAGTTGCCCAGGCTGAATGCTTCAGCTTTCTGCATTAGGGCCATTTTGCTCTCAACTTTGACACAGGCAGGTAAAGATTCTGAGAGATCCAGGGTGCTGGTGATAATGAAAGTTAGAGTAAAATCACAAATCTAGTAATGACAAAAAAGCTGAATAAGACAC